ACTTTCACCCCAACCCTCTGAGCTAGGAATTATTATATTACTTCCATTTTTCACAAGGAGAAGTGGAACACAGAGAGATTAAGTAATTTGCTGTGCAGCTATTAAGTAGCTTAAGCATGTGAACTTTGACCTTGGGGGCCAGTGTTCTGGAAACCACTATAAGGCTTTTCTTCCAGTCTGGAGTTACCCCCAGCATGTATCCTAATGACGAGGTTCACTTCAAGACAACACATAGCAAAGGATTCAGTAATTTTCTTCTTCTTTTGGTGACATTGGGGATTGAATTCAGAGACTCATGATTGCTAAATAAGTACTTTACCACTTGAGCCATGCCCCCAACTCTTTTTGCTTTAATTTATTTTTAGAAAGTGTCTTGTATTTTTGCATGAGTTGGCCTGGGATCTCCAGCTTCCTAACTCTGCTTGCTGAGTTGCTGGGATTACAGAGATGCACAACCACACCCTAGCTCAGTGATACTTAAAAGAACAGTATGGTGAGTATGTGGCTTCCCATGTGCATCTCAGGGAGGCTGTGTGTGTCTGAACAGGAGAAGCTGCCAGACAGAGCTGGCTTAGCCCCAGAAGGAAGCAGTCTTAATTAGTAGTGTACAATATTAACAATCAGTGAGGAACAAGTCCTAGCAGTTCAGAACAGGCAGCCCCTGGAGAAAGTCCTCAAATACACCCCCCCTGCCCCTCCCTGTGTGACCAAAGTCCCGCTCCTTCCTTTCCCAACATAGGGGGAGGTGGAGGAGGATAGATGTCAGGGCTGCTGGGGAAGTGAGGTCAGAGGGCTGACTCAGATACTGATATGGAAGCAGTGTGTGTGTGTGTGTGTGTGTGCTGGTATTGGAGCTCGAACTCAGGGCCTAGACACACTTCCTGAGCTTTTATACTCTACCACTTGAGCCAGAGCTCTGCTTCTGGGGTATGTGTGTGGTTAAGTGGAGACGAGTCTCCTTAACTTTCCTGCCCAGGCTGACTTCAAACACTGATCCTCAGATCTTAGCCTCCAGAGTAGCTAGGATTACAGAAGTAAGCCACCAATGCCTGGCTAAGATTCTTGCTTTATAAATTACCCAGTCTATGGTATGTTGTCATAGCAGCCGAAAAACAAAATTATCCCACAATGCAATGTGGGGAAAAAATAGATGGGAGAAGTAAATTCATCCGTGCTGGAAGCCATGGAGGACAGATGCTTAGTTCCAATGTCTGATTACTGTGACTCATCGGAGGAGAGAATAAACAGGAGGCAGAGTCCCGGAGGCCATTGCCTCCCGGCCATTCCTCTGCTCCTGAAGCACCCACCTTGCTTTAGGATTTTCTCCCCTTGGGATCATGAGTACGGCGGGTGCGAACATCCACCTCCATTCTGCATTTTTGTCTCCACGAGACGGATTCCTGTGCTGTGCGTGTGTGGGACTGCAGGGTGAGAGACCGCGCAGGCACAGAGCTGTGATTTTGACAAACATTCCCAGTTGGCTTTGCAGCAAGGTGATGGTGCTGGGGCTGTGGCAAAGCATGTCCCTTCCCCATCAGAGAAGGTGTTAGCTCACACTCACTCAGTTCACCGGCCTATGCCATTAACGTGAGGCGCTACGAGGGTTTGGAGTTGCATTTCCCTCACTCCTGTGGGGATTCTGAATCTTTTTATGCTTAGTCACCACTTGGATTTGTTCCCCTATGAGTCCTCTCATGATAGCGTCTGATCATTTTTTATTCAGATACTGATTCTGCAGCAGCTCTGTGCTTAGACAGATATTAAATCTTGATCTGATTCTTGGTCTGCGTGTGGAGAGCTCTCATCAGATGCAGGGTTCATGCAGCACCATATGTCTTCTTCTAAATTATCATGGGTTTATTTAGAGATTTAGGTCTTTTTAAAATTTATTTGGTGCTAGTACTGGGGCTTGAACTCATGGCCTGAGCACTGTCTCTTAGCTTTTTCACAGTGGAAGGCTGCTGCTCTTCCACTTGAGCCACAGCTCCACTTTCAGCTTTGTGGTAGTTAAATGGAGATAAAAGTCTCCCTGACTTTCCTGCCTAGGCTGACTTCGAACTTCAATCCTCAGATCTCAGCCTCCTGAGTAGCTAGGATTACAGGTGTGGGTCACAGATACCTGGCCTTTAAGTTTTTAACCTTAACTCAAGTCTGGAATTCATTTTATAATGATCTCAAATAAAGTCCTGATTTCATTTTCTCTATCTTAGAAATGTCCCAAACACCAGCCACAAGCTATTGAACACTTAACAATGCCCTGCTCTGAACTGAAGTGGACTAAATTCTAAAACACACACTGAATTTTTAAGACTTAGCAAGACTTATAACTTCCATATTGGTTATATGTTGAAGCCTTTTGGGTGTGTTGGATAAAATAAGATATCATTAAAGTTAATTTCAGATATTTCATTTTTCTGCTTTGAATGTGATCACTAGAAAAAAATGTAATTATGTAGGTGGCTGACATCGTACTTCCTCTGGACAGCTTATATTCTATTTCCCAAAGTCAGACGTGACAGAATTATTGATGAACCCTTCTTTATTCTTTTTTACTATCTTTAATCCTCCTCTGAGGGTTGCTCTGCTTTGTCTTACAGGAGACCCCTGTCTTGTTCACTTCCATGAGCTCTGCAATGGCCCTTTTCCACGAATCAGCTCACGGGACAGTTCATGGGGGCAGTTCATGGGGACAAGCCCCGCCTCTCCAGAGAGGGAGTTAGACTGGAATTGCCAGCCTCCCTCCTAGCTCAGATGTGCATATCTGACCTTTGTGGGATGGATTGGATGTGAGCCATGAAATAAATCAAATTCTGCTTGGAGATTCCATTTCCATAGCCCCTGGGTGACAGAGGCAATAATCTAAGATGACTGCAAGAAGAGGATGCTATGTCAAGCTCTGTCCACTAGAGGGTGGCAATAGCAATGGCAGGTTCTTCAACACTGGGTACTGCTTGGGGCACAACTTACCCTAGTGTCTGGCTTTTAGCCTTTACAACACCATCGTAACATACTATCTTTTTCAAAATTCATTTTGTTTTTAAGACAATTTGCCTACGTAGCCTAGCCTGGTCTAGAACTCCTCATCTCCTGCTTCAGTTTCCCCAAGTGTTAGAGTGACAGCCATGAGCCACCACACCTGAAACTCAGTATTTTTTTTTTTTTTGGGTCCGGTTGTCGGGCTGGGCACTGTCCCTCAGCTTTTCAGCTCAAGGCTAGCGCTCTACCACTTGAGCCACAGCACCACTCCTGGCTTTTTTCTTTTTGCTTATGTGGTGCTGAGGAATCGAACCCAGGGCCTCAGGCATGCAAGGCAAGTGCTCTACCACTGAGCCACCTTCCTAGCCCAAAACTCAGTATTTTTTAATAATAATAAATATTCTCTTTTCTTAACCAGCCATATTCTTTTGCTTACCTATGGAACCATGATATATTAGTTTTGTCTCTCAAGGAAGTGTAGCTTAGATTTCTTGTTATTTCCCCTATTTCTAAAAACCCACTTCTATTTTAATGAGTTTTCTTTTCCTACTTTTTTTCAACTTATTTTCTTATTCTTTTTTCTATTTCTCCAGAAGAGTCTCATCTTAGCCTGGGAGGGACCAGAGCAAAAATATCCATGCTAATAGCTTGTGGAGAGGTACAGCCTCGGAGCGAGCAGGGAAGAGAGAAGCAGGGCAGCAAGGCCCAGGCTGATGCTGTGCCCAGGGCCCCCTCAGGGTGCTGGTGTGAACCACTCTGTCCTGGAGCATCCTGAGAAAAGGAGAGCGGGGGAGGATTTGTCACTGCCCCTTCCCATCTCCTACCTCATCTCCTATGGTTCAAAGGGCAGGGCACGGGTCCTTTGGTGTGGCTAGCCTGCACCTGCACCGGCCTCTTCTGGGAGGTGCAGAGCCTCTGCACCGTCCTGCAGGAGCAGTGGTGGCAGGATGGGGTTCCTCCAGCCTGCCATGTATTGGGTGACCTGGAGCCTGCCCGGGGGTTAGCTCGCTGTCCCCACTAGAGACCCTCCACCTCAGAGGAAGTCCAGTGGTTCTGGCACAAGGCTGACAAGCACTGAGGTCTGGTGAGGATGTTAGCCAGAACCCCAGGGCAGTGCATGCGCGGTGTGGCACACTCCCCCTACACCCAAGACGCGCATTCACCTCATGTCCTCTACCTGCAGCAAAACGACAATGAGAGGTTCATTTCTTCTGCAAGAAATGGGTTGGAGGTCAATCCTCCTAGGAGGAAGCCTATGACAGTTTGGGGGGGGATTATTTTCTGTCCATACTAGGGTTTGAATTCAGGGCCTGGGCACTGTCCCTTAGTTTTTTTTTCACTCAAAGCTGGCACTCTACCATTTGAGCCACAACTCTGCTTCTAGCTTTTTGGTAGTTCATTGGAAATAAGACTCTCACAGACTTTCCTGCCCAAACTGACTTCGAACCATGATCCTCAGATCTCAGCCTCCTAAGTAGCTAGGATTACAGGTGTGAGCCACTTTAAACATTTTAAAGAGTGTAACCAAACCAAATTCAGTTCCTGCTGCTGTAACTGGTTCCATGTTAATGATTCATCTTTTCCCCTCTGCCTGAAATATAACTGCTTCTTTTGTTGTTGTTGTTGTTGGTTGTGGGGCTTGAACTCTGGGCCTGGGCTCTGAACTGTGGGCCTGTCCCTGAACTCTTCAGCTCAAGGCGAACACTCTACCATTTGAACCACAGCACCATTTCCGGTTTTCTGGTGGTTAATTGGAGATAAGAGTCTCACAGACTTTGCTGCCTGGTCTGGCTTTGAACTGTGATCCTCAGATCTCAGCCTCCTGATAGCTAGGAGTGTAGGCACCCAGCTTGAAATATAACTTCTGAACAGTATTTCCACAGATAATCTTCACCCATGTTCTTTATTACTTGTTGAAAGTATTCACATGACCAAGACACTCACAGGACTGCACGTCTACCTTAATTTCCCAGCTCCTCGTCGTGAAGCCTATGTATGAAGCTTTTGCTGCAAGGGCTGGCCTATCAAGGTTTCTGCGCTCTGGTTTTGCTAGTGGTCAGTGCATTTGGCTGGTGGCAGGATTCTTTCTGCACAGGGAAGGTACTGGTGGATGTTTTCTTCTTGTGTGTTTTTCTCTGATGTTTTGTGAGGGCTGACCTCTGGCTGAAGTTTTTTCCGCATTCGTTACATTCATAGGGCTTTTCCCCAGTATGAATTCGCTGGTGTTTTGTGAGGGCTGACTTTTCATGGAACGTTTTCCCACACGTGGGGCATTTGTAGGGGTTTTCTCCTGTGTGAGTTCTCTGATGCACGATGAGGTTGCATTTCACGCCGAAAGACCTGGAGCATTCGCTGCATTGATAAGGTTTCTCTCCTGTGTGGGTCCTCCGATGCTGAGTGAGGTTTGATTTCACACAGAAGCGTTTCCCACACTCGCTGCATTTGTATGGCTTCTCTCCGGTGTGAGTTCTCTGATGAACCGTGAGTGCCGATTTTTGGCAGAACGACTTCCCACACTGCTGGCAGCTGTGCGGCTTTTCTCCCGTGTGAGTTCTCTGATGCTCTGTGAGGTTGGACTTCACTGAGAAGGATTTCTCACACTCGCTGCACTCAAAGGCTTTCTTCCCTGTGTGTGTGCTCTGGTGTTGGGTAAGGCCTGCTTTGCTTCCGAAGCTTTCCCCACAGCGACTGCAGTCATGGGTCTTCCGTCCTGGGGTGGTGCCTTGCTTTCCAGCCTTGCGTGTGCCCCCACTCCCCTCACCCTCCTCAGGGGCTCTCTCCAAGCGTGACCTCCCACGTGGAGTGCGCTCAGACTTTGGGAGAAAGGTCTTCTCATCTTTACTACCTTTAGGCTTTTTATCTCCTGGGCTCTTTCTCTTGTTGGAAGTCGGGTATGGCTCCTGGGAGGCACTGTCCTCGCCGGTGCCCATGTTGGGCGTTCCTGTGGTGTGAGGTTTCCAGTGTGGACATGATTTTTCACGAGGGGATTTCCCACCTTCCCAGTAGTCAGAGGCCTTGGCCCCTGCGTGGGCTCGCTCACGGCCAACTTGTCCACCTATGAACCTCCTTTTATGTTGGGGAAGCTGGGACTTCCCCTCCACAGCCTCCCTCTGTGTGTTACACTCACGGTGAGTTGTGGGATGCCTTGACTTGATGCACGAGGATTTTGCACTCTGGCTGGACTCACTTGGTTTCCTCTTTTTAAGGGTTTCTGGACCAGAATCAAGCTTTGACTTTTTCCTTGGGGCTGATCTGCAGTCATGATTTGCTGGTGGTTTCTCTATGGTGCCAGCTCTCTCACATGAGCCAGAGGCTGTCTTTCTGTACAAGGTCTTCCCACAATGGTTATCCTCAAGAAGTTGCTCCAAAGACACATTTTTCTGATGAGGAACGAGGTCCTCATCAGAACTGAGGGATTTCTGGTTTGGACGCACTTTACAGGGCTGCCTTCCGGTGTGCACTTCCTCAGGCTGGGGGTCGGAGGACCCGCCTCCTCTGGCATCAGTGGACTTCTTCCTGACATGGTTCCTGTGACTAATAAGTAATTCTGAAATGCCTTTCAAGCTTGTTCCAAACGAGTCACACTTATGGGCTATTTTTCTTGAGGATCCTGGATTTGTGGTTATATTAACTCTTTCTCGTAAGGCCTTCTTTCTTTCTTTCATCAATGTTTTGTTGTGGATGACTAAAACTGGCCTCAAATATTTCTCTTCATTTTCTTGAATTTCTACTTTCATGTTATTGTCATTCTGGGGTTCTAGAAATATGAAAAGTAAAGTATATGTTATAAATCTTTACATAGCTTTTTTGTACTGGTCCTGGGACTTGAGCTCAGGGCCTGGGCACTGTCCCTGAGATTTGTTTGCTCAAGGCTAGCGCTCTATCACTTGAGCCACAAGCTCTGTGTTTAATTGGAGATAAGAATCTCACAGAGCTGGGTACCAGTGGCTCACACCTGTAATCCTAGCTACTCAGGAGACTGAGATCTGAAAATCTCGGTTAAAAGCCAGTCAAGGCTTTGAGACTGTTTTTTTTTTTTTTTTGCTGGTCGTGGGACCTGAAACTCTGGGCCTGGGAGCTGTCCCTCAGCTCTTCAGCTCAAGGCCAGTGCCCTACCACTTGAGCCACAGCACCACTTCCAGCTTTTTCTGCTTATGCGGTGCTAAGGAATTAAACCCAGGGCCTCATGCATGCGAGGCAAACACTACCACTGAGCCACCTTCCCAGCCCCGGCTTTGAGACTCTTATCTCCAATAAACTACCAGAAAATCGGAAGTGGTGCTGTGGCTCAAGTGGCAGAGCACTAGCCTTGAGCTGAAGAGCTGAGGCTGAGGGACAGCATCCAGGCCCAGAGTTCAAGCCCCATGACCAGAAAAAAAAAAAAGATTCTCACAGGTTTTCCTGCCCAGGCTGGCTTCAGAATCTTGATTTTCAGATTTCAGCCTCCTGAGTAGCTAGAGTTACAGGCCTGAGCCACCAGCACCTTGCATTAACATAGTTTCTAAGGATGGTTTTTGTTTTTTCCTGTATGCTGAGTCAATTCTGGAGTTTTAGGAACACTCTCTTGGGAAGAATATAGTCCTAAGCAAACCTTTTCTTCAAGCCTTTTAGTTGGGTAATAGGAATACAAAGTCATACATTGTAGTAGAAAAAGGGAAAGAGCTGAATATAAATGGTAGTAGCTTTGGCTTGGTACAAATATGGCCTCAAAATGGGCAGAGAACTCAAAATAAAACACAAGGAAACTGGGAGATAGTGCGGGAAAGGGTGACATTGTCTAAGGGGAAATGACTAATGTAACTGTAACCCCTCTGTGTATCACCTTTAAAATAACAATAAACTTTACATTTTAAAATTTTAAAAAACACAAGGAATGGTGAACTGAGAACAGAGAATGGAAGATATTTTAAATGGGGCAAACACGGGCAACACTGAGCAGCCAGACAAAGAGGACCAGGGTTTTGTGTGGGTTAGAACAGGTGTTAGATGTGGACCCTCATCAGGGACTAGATCCTTACTCCTCTCTCCAGATCAAATTACAGCAGCATCCTTATTCAGTCTATATGATTCGGATCACTCTCCTTTCTTCCATTCTGTACTCCAATCCCCAAGTGAAAGTTAAGACGGCCCTCATTTCCTCAGGTGTAAAGACCAGTCCTGTCTTTCCATGTGGCTGGGAAACCACGTCAGATGAGTGTGTAAGACACACAGGAGCTCCACACCCTGATGCTAGCACCACAATGGATTCCATCAGAGTTCCTCAACAAAAATCCCTCCTGAGGACAATCTCGCATTCCCTCTCGACGGCTGGTTTGCATTACCCACTGCTTGTGCCCCTGTCACAAAACCGATTCTTTAAAGACTAGATGCTTTTCAAAGAGCAGATTTAGGTTGATGGTAAAATGGAGTGGAAGGTCAGAGAGGTCCTGTACATCCTGGCTAACCACAACAGGGTACACCATTGCCACCCAGAGCCCTAGCGTCCCCTGGGGCCCAAGCCAAGAACTGCATGCTCTGTGGTCAGGACAAGTGTGTCCATCCAGCAGATCTCACCAGCAGCTCCTGCTGGCCAGAGAGTCCCGTGTGCCCTACTCCCATCCTCCACCCAGCCCTGGACACCACCCTTCCTTCTGACCACCTCAAAAGTTTGGCTTTTCGTGAGGTTGTGCGGCATTTTTAGACAGGTTGCTTTCACTCTTCTAAGCTTGACAGCTTTCTTCTCTGTGGCAGGATGTGTTGTGTCTGTTTACCCACCCACCTCCCCAAGGGCACTTTCCCTGTACCTCCATTTTGGAAATGATGAATCAGGCTGCTCTGTGCATCTCTGTGATGGTTTTAGTATGAACACAACTCTTCAGTGCTTAGCTTTTACTGCTGGTTTTATGCCATGTTTTTCTTCTTCTCTTCCCTGTAATAACTCAAGCACTTGGCTACTCACATGGGCTCCAAGGGCTTTTATTAACCTTGGGATTTTATTTTATTCTTTGTCCTACTGGGGATGGACTTCACACTTGCTTGGCAGGTACTCTACCACTGGTTCCTCTCTGTCTTCCCTTTCTGAAATAGTTTTTTTTTTGAGATAGTGTTTTGCTTTTGAGTGTAACCTGGGCTGCGATCCCCTATTTGTGCTTTTTGTTTTGTTTTGGTTTTTTTTGGGTCTGGTCGTGGGGCCTGAACTCTGGGCCTGGGCCCTGTCCCTCAGCTCTTCAGCTCATGGCTAGCGCTCTACCACTTGAGCCACAGTGCTTCCGGCTTTTTTCTTTTTGCTTATGTGGTGCTGAGGAATCGAACCCACGGCCTCAGGCATGCAAGGCAAGCGCTCTACCACTGAGCCACCTTCCCAGTCCTTGTGCTTCTTTGCATAGCGAGGATGATATATACATGACACCCAACTATTGTCAAGCCTCAATCCTCCAGATCTCTGCCTCCTAAGTAGCTAGGATTGAGCCACTGGGCTTGGCTTACTTTTTGTCTTTGTTGTAAACAATTTTGTCTATGAGTGATTATTGTTATCCTCTTTATTCACATTTTATGCAGCAATATCAACTGTACACTTAAAAGAGTATGTATAACTTCCCTTGGGCCTGCATCTACCTGCTATTCCAGACACTCAGGGTGCTGAGATAGAGAGGATCATTGAGGTTAAGCGGAGCAAAAAGGTAGCAAGAGCTCATCTCAACCAACAAACTGGGCATGATGATGCATGCCTGTGATCCCAGCTACTGGGAGGCACAGGTAGTGGGATCACAGTCTGAGGCCAGCTCTAAGCAAAAAGCATGAGATCCTATCTGAAAAATAATGACTGTGGGGCTGGGAAGGTGGCTCAGTGGTAGAGTGCTTGCCTTGCATGCATAACGCCCTGGGTTTGATTCCTCAGCACCATGTAAACAGAAAAAGCCGGAAGTGGTGCTGTGGCTCGAGTGGTAGAGTGCTAGCCTTGAGCTGAAGAACTGAGGGACAGCACTCAGGCCCAGAGTTCAGGCCCCATAACCACTACCACCACCACCAACAAAATAATAATGAACGCAAAAAGGGCTGGTGATGTGGCTGAAGTGGTAGAGTGGCAGCGAGTGTGAGGTCCTGAATTCAAGTCCCAGTATTGACCTCTTCTACACGATGACTTTCCTACAGTATATAAAACAGAAGCCAAGGCGCTGGGAAGGTGGCTCAGTGGTAGAGTGCTTGCCTGGCATGCATGAAGCCCTGGGTTCAATTCCTTAATACCACATACACAGAAAGAGCCAGAAGTGGTGCTGTGGCTCAAGTGGTAGAGTGCTAGCCTTGAGCAAAAGAAGCTCAGGGAGAGCACCCAGGCCCTGAGTTCAAGCCTGGCAACAACAACAACAACAACAAAAACCACACACAAAAAAAACAGAAGCTGGTGGGCTCACAAAGCAAATATGCTTGGATTTTATACTGGATTCTTACACTAGCATTCACTATGCAAGTTCAAGAGACCATCCACAAGTCTGCAAGTCCCTCTGTTCCTATAAGAAGCAGAAGAGCTTCTTAAAGAAGCAGCTTCTCTAAGAAGAAGAGCTATTTACTTCAAGACACAAAGTTCCCTTGGAATTTTCACTTATTGTGTCCTGAGCTCCACTCAGGACACAGACCTCCTCAGGACCATGCAGTGCGTCCTCACCACTTTCAATTCTACTGCGGTGAACTTTACTTATTCTGATCATAGTTTTAAATTGGTTGCAGCATTGGAGATTGAATCCAGGGCCTCCAGCATGTGATGCAAGCTCTCTCCCTCTTGAGCTGTGGTCCTTAACCCTTAGTCAAGTGCAATTTAGGAGTCAGGTAAGTACTGTCTAGACAATATATGCTAATGTATTTTCCTACATGATTTGTTTCTCTAGCTACATGAGTAAGCCTGATTTTCACTGCTTTTGGCAGGTTTTCTAGCTTTAAATTTTAACTTATTTATTTTTCACATTGAGATTTCAGCTTCTTGCAGCCTCTAGTGAAAATGGAATTGACATTTGTTTTCATTTTCTTTGGGATAATTTTCAGTAAAGAAGGGGTCAAGCTGACTGTCTACATGCATCTCCATATTGGAATCTACCTCTTCCTTACCTCCTTGCTCCTGGGGCTCTGGGACCACACTCTCTGGTCCCCTCTGCATCTTAGATGGATGGTTCTCTGTCTTTTTTGCTTGGATCCTGTGCTCTGCATTTACCTACAACACTTCAAGCTACTCTTTTTGACCTGTTATCTTACCTACCATTTTTCTAAGTTACTCTTCAGGTCTGTATGTGACCTCCACTGCCCTGAATTTTCTCTCATGACACCAAACACAGTCTTGTCTCAGAGGCTTGGCATCCCCTGTTCTAGTCTGGAAACTGCTTAGAAAACCCATAGCTCTCTCCTTCCCTTCATTCAAAATTCCCTTCCAGATGGTGCCAGTGGCTTACACCTGTAATCCTAGCCACTCAGAAGGCTGAGATCTAAGGATTGTGGTTCAAAGCCAGTCCATGCAAAAAATGTCCAGGAGATTCTTATTCATTAACCACCAAGAAGCCAGAAATGGAACTGTGGATCAAGTGGTAGAACATCAGCCTTGAGTGAAAAAGTTAAGGGACAATGCTCAAGCCCTGAATTCAAGTCCCTGTACCAACCAACCAACACACACACACACACACACACACACACACACACACACCTTCATTCCACTGTTCCTGTTCAAAGGCTGACCTCCTGAAAGAGGCCTCCCTGATCTCCCCTCTCAAACACCCATTTGCCCTGTGTTGCTCACCTGACTTTCCTTCTTCACAGTACTGACTTGTATCCGTCCTGTCTGTATTGACTAGCCACTTGGCCCTCTTGAGAGGAGCAGGGTCTGTGCCCACACTTGAAAAGAAACTGGTGTAGAGCAAATGCTACATGAGTATTTGTTGCATGAAGGAATGTATGGATAAATGAGTGCATGACCCTGGAGAGAAGATAAACAATGACTATACAGACTGAAAATAGAAACAGGTGTCTGGAATGAGGAAGGCAGCAGGTAGCTTGTGTAGAAGCCAAGTAAACCTCATCAAGTCAAGACTGGGCACCAGAAGCTCATACCTGCAATTCTAGCTACCTCGAGTTCCTGAGATCTGAAGATTGAGGTTCAAAGCCACCCAGGCAGAAAAGTCCATGAGACTCTTATCTCCAATTAATTACCAAAAGCCAAAAGTATAACTGTGACCCAAGTGGTAGCCTTGAGCAAGAAATCTCATGACCAGTGCCTGTACATTGAGTTCAAGCACAAAGACTGGCACACACACACACACACACACACACACACACACACACACACACACTCAAGTAGAACAAATAATGTGTATGTGGAGCTGGGAGCCAGTGGCTCACATCTTAATCCTAGCTATGCAGGAGGCTGAGATCTGAGGATCACAGTTCAAAGCCAGCCCAAGCAGGAAAGTCCATGAGACTCTTAGCTCTAATTAACCACCAGAAAACCAGAAGTGGTGCTGTGGCTCAAGTGGTAGAGGGCTTGCCTTGAGCTGAAGAGCTCAGGGACAGCACCCAGGCCTAGAGTTCAAGCCCCACAACCAAAAAAAAAAAAAAAGTCTATGCGGAAGAGTGACCTTTAGAGGTCTGAGATCTGAGGTGTGTCATCATCTTTATTTACTCCTTTTCAAAGCCCAAAGATTTCTGACCACACTGCAAAGAACCCACACCCTGGACCACCAGGATGTAGATTCTCCCTGTTCTTCCACAACTCACCTGAGTGGCTGTGACTCGGGGGTTCTCTCTCCATTATCCACGGCTCCTCCTCTCGTTCTAGCTTGCATATCAACTGAGGTTTGGTCACACAGAGCCCTGGGATGAGAAGTGACAGAGGACTTCAAGATTGCTTCGGGTTAGGCCCCTTGAAACACACACGGCAGGGTCCTTCCAGGTATCATCAAAGCCAGCAACCCGGGTCCCATGGGAGGTGGGGACAGCTGGTTATCCTGCCCTGAGAGGTGGGCATCTGGGGAAGGACCCTGCCGCTGGGGAAGGGAGAACATAGTACTCTCTCCAGTGCCCTCAAAGTGTCTTAGGGCCCCAAATCCCAGGCCTAAAATGCACTACTCTGTAAGGATTTGGCTCCCAAAACAGGAAACACAGGTTCTGGGAGTCACAAGGGGCTCACTCAGTGTGTGGGAGTGCTGGATGTCGAGCAGGGGGCTGGGCTCACCTAGTGCTGTGGGTACTGGATATTAAAGGGTGGGGGATGCCAGGCTTACGCGTGTTGGGGGGGCTGGGCGTGGGGAGGGGGGCAGGGCTCACCCAGTGCATGCAGGTGCCGGTAGTTGTCCAGCATCACATCCTTGTACAGGAGCCTCTGGGTGACATCCAGCAGCTGCCATTCCTTCCAGGTGAAGTCTACACACACGTCTCTGAACAGCACTGGCCCCTGTGTAACCATCAGAAATGCTCAGGACTGGGCTGGGAAGGTGGCTCAGTGGTAGAGTGCTTGCCTTGCATGCCTGAGGCCCTGGGTTCGATTCCCCAGCACCACATAAGCAAAAAGAAAAAAAGCTGGAAGTGGTGGTGTGGCTCAAGTGGTATAGCACTAGCCTTGAGCTGAAGAGCTGAGGGACAGCGCCCAGGCCCAGAGTTCAGGCCCCACGACCGGACCCAAAAAAAAAAAAAAAGAAATGCTCAGGACTGGATGTAGCAAAGTGTCGGCATGCCCTGACTCCTCGCTCTCCATAAGAGCTCACCAGAAGGCGGTAGGGAGCTGATTAACACTACCTTCCTTCTGGTTATACTTTGCAAGAGAGACAGAAGTCATCCCTGAACCACTAGGCCCTGCTGTGTATCTATAAATTCACGGAGTAATTCATCAAGTCATTGGAGTTTTCCCCTGCAGGCCTGGACCCTTTCTGGCTGAGGAAGACACTAAGGCCTTAATTCACTGAGCAGGAGAGACAGAGCGTGGCCATGTTAGCATAAAGGATTCTGCGGAATATACAGATGGAGAGGTGGGGGTGGCAGGTGGCAGGGGGACTTGGCACTCAGGAGAGAGATCTAGGATGTGGATACAGGTGTCTCTGCAGGAGCCTGAGCCATCAGTAGAGGGAATGTGTTCACCAGGAACTCAGCCTGGAGCCCACGGGGAGGAGCGTGATTGGCATCCATGAGGAAAACAGAGCCTGGAGCCCACTCCCCCTCTGCAGCTTCCAGCAGAGCCATAGCCTGCAGTGGAGCCATATGCAGCTGTGAACACACAAGGGGGCCTCAGAAGAGACAAGTTCAAGAGCAAGTGACGCCACAGGATTGAGCTCTTCTGCTTCTAAAACTGCAGCAGAGAGAAACGCAAACACGCTGTGTCCACCAGAGAAACAGTGAGAATGTGAGCAACACCTGTCTGTCTCTGGGAGACACACAGTGGGAGGTGGACCTGGGGCACCTTGCTCACTCACCTCTTGACACGATGGAAGGGGCAGAAGCCTCGGGTCCGCCTACAGAGCCCAGTAGAGCTGCCAGCTCAGGAGCAGGGGAGCTGGAGCTGAACAGGGCACATGGTTAGCAAGTAGAAGGCTGCTCAGAATCCTTGGAGGAACCTTACTTACCCTGGATGGTTGGTGTTCAGGAGGATATTCCTGTAAAAGCAGGGATCTGCCCCAAGAGTCTGCGAGAACTTGAAACCCAAGAGAGAAGCCAAGCCTTGTGCCCCATACCCATGGCACTGGTAAAGAACTGCTTCCTGCCTCCCTGTCCCTGTCCGTATGTCTAATGGCAATGAATGTCTGAAGACTAATAGTTCCCACAATGCACATGTAAAGTGCCGAGTGAGTCCTTTCTCCCAGAAGAAACGTCATGGAAACAGAGCACTGTGCTGAATGAGCTTACACCAGTATCTAGACAGACCCAGTAAGCTCTCTGCTTCCAGATTCACCTGGAAAACACTGGAGGGAATGCTAGTCCTAAAAAGTAAACCTCAGGAAGAGACTTTAGCCAGGTACTGGTAGCTCACTCCTATAATCCTAGCTACTCAGGAGACTGAGATTTGAAGATCATGGGCTCTTATCTCCAACCAACCAGAAAAAAAATCTAGAAGTGAAGCTGTGGCTTAAGTAGTAAAGCACTAGCCTTGAGCAAAAAAGCCAAGGGACAGAGCCCAAATCCTGAATTCAAGCCTCAGTACTGGCACAAGAAAGAAAGAGAAAGGAGAGAAGGAAAGAAAGGAAGGAAAGAAGGAAGGAAGGAGAAAGAGAGGGAAAGAGAGAGAGAAAGAAAGGAAGAAAAAAAGAAAAAAGAGAGAAAGAAAGAGAAGGAAGGAATGAAGGAAGGAGAGAAGAAAAGGAAAAGAAAAGAAGAAAAAGATCCGGGTGCTGGTGGCCCACACCTGTAATCCTAGCTATTCAGGAGGCTGAGATCTGAGGATCGAAAGCCAGCCCAGGGGAGGAAAGTCTGTGAGACTCTTATTTCCAATAAGCCACTAGAAAAACTGGAAGTGGCGCTGTGGCTCAAGCAGTAGAGCTCTTGCCTTGAGCTAAAGAGTACAGGGACAGCACTCAAGCCCAGAGTTCAAGTCCCACAACCAACAAAAAAAATATACTGAAAAAGAGAAGAGGCTTGGAGACTGCTAAACAAATTTAATGTAAAGAAAATGAATAGCCTAAGAGATAAGCACCGAAATGAATAGATTAGTAACTGTGAAAACAAATTTAGATAAGGTATTGAAGAGAATAACGTTTAAACACTCAAATTCATAATCCCAAGTTGATGTATGGGAGAATCTTCCTTCCATGAAATGAGAAAAGTTTGCTCTAAGAAAAGGATCACCGAGATTAAATATTTTGTTGCTGATCTGGGAAAGAACCAAACCAAAAATCTGCCGCAAGGCTTTGGGTTTGCAAGAATGAATCTCTCCATGTACAGACCAAAGATTCAGAAAAAAAAAATGGGCATAATGAGGTAAAGCCAAAGAACAAAGAGAACAGATTGAGGAGAGAGTCCAGTGAGACTTTCAGTATTAAGGACAAAGAGGAAGGCAGAAGGAAGTGAACACAGAGATCAAAACACCTCAGAGCATATGAGTCTTCATCTCATTAGCACAGTCAATTTACCAAGCAGACTAAAAAAAGGAACAAATAAACAGATGCTGCATGGTAAAAAATATCTCAAATCTAAGCCCAATGTGGGGGTGGGGGAGGAGGAGGGGAAGGAGATGATGATGATGGAGGAGGAAAGAGAGAAACAGGTTACCCACAAAGGAATGAGAACCAAGGTACCACATCCCTTCTCCTAGGTCTCTCCAAGTGCTAGGAGACATGGCAGGTGGTCTTGCCTCCGAATATTCTGAAGGAAATGGACTTTGAGGCAGAACCTCTCATCAAGTCTCCCATTCCCAGAACTGTGCAGAGCAATGGTGTGTTGGACCTCCAGGCTGAGAGGGCGGGCGCAGCACTCACTGTGTGCCATAGTCCACAGCCCTCCGTCCAAACTTAGCCGACTTCCAGGAAGACGACGACGCGGGACAATGGTGGGCAGTAGACAGGCCAGCGAGAGCTGCTGTTTTATAAGGGGTATCAGGCAAAGCGCTTATAGTTTCACACAGAATCACACACAGTGGGTGCCAGCCCTGAGAGCCCCTGCCACTGGATGGCAGAGCTCGGGGCAGCGGCGCCACCTCACCTGTGGCCATCTGGATGAGGTCATAAAACCAGCCTCTGAAGCCCAGGGGCACCTGCTGCTCTGGGACAGTTGGGACTGCCACCAGGGGTCAGCAGAGGGCACACCAACCTCCTTTCCAGCTAAGAAGGTGGTCAGAGTTAGTAATGAAAATATGAACAAAATGAGTATCAGGAATCTGGAAAGTGATGGTAAGCGGAGGAGGCAGCAGGGGAAAATGAATGGAAAAGGGAACGGGGCAGGCACAGCAAGAATACTCCCTGTACATACGTGTTAAAGGAAGTGGGGACTGTGAAATGAGCCTAGGGGAGGGAGCTCATGGGATTGGGGAATGGGGGTGAGTGATGGGTGGGGGGGGGTGATCAAGAAGCACTGACCACTTAGATGGATATGTTGAAAAGTAACCCCCCTGCAAAACCTTTTACGTCTAGAAAATAAAAATAAATAGAGACCTCAAGGCACCCTGTTATATTTCACCTTCAGATAAAAGACAAATCACTTCAGAGTGTGGGAGGTGCCATGACTGAGGGGTCTTATCTGGCAACTATTCCTAAGACAGCTCCATTCCAAGTTCACGTGCGGGCCAGAACACACAAAGATAACCATGGGCTCTCAGAAATGGGTGGAAAACTCAGAGTATTCTTGGAAAGTCCCCATCTGACAAACGTCCAGTGAAGCCCTCTTTGAACTTTCAGCCACAAGCTTTGGGAAATGACTTCTATCTTTCTAGCTGCCGGTAAAAAGGGTGTAATTAAAGTACCTACCCAACTCTACCCTGCCAGAATTATGTGAGAAAATCTACAGTGGCAAGCTGTGAATTGTAGAGAAAATTATGGCAGACCAATTATTATAGTTTTGTTGCCCTATCTCCAACTTAGGGCTGGAATAAATGGTCAGAAAATACTATTCAAATTGAAATTATTGTTGTTCAAGTAGCTAGAGTGATGCAATTGTTAGCAAGGATCCCAGAGTAAAATTGATTGCATAAATGAAAAAAGGAGAGAAGAACAGCAGCAGCTAGAGGATTTGCAGAAAACCCAAAGTGTGGACAGCTGTCCCTGCTTAGGCGATAACAGGCAAAAACTCAGGATGCTGGGAGCAGTGTGTTATCTGTGTGTAAACACAGCATGGGTGGCCAATCATGGAACAAAAATAAAATGTAGACCTTCAAAGCTTCTGGAAGAGAAAGAACACCAGCAAAAATAATCATGCAGGGGAAAAAAATGAACAAATGAAGAAAAGCAATTAACAAGAAAACATGGCTAACCAAAATCCAAACTCCTATATGTCACAGCAAACATGGCGTAACAAGAAACAGTGGACTAGCTACTCAGGAGGCTGAGATCTGAGGATCCCAGTTCAAAGCCATCCTGGGCAGGAAAGTCAGAGAGACTTTTATTTCCAACTAACCACCAGAAAAATTTGGAAGTGGAGCTGTGGTTCAAGTGGTAGAGTGCTCATCTTGAGCTGAAGAGCTCAGGGAGAGTGCCCAGGCCTAGTTCAAGAAAGAAAAGAAAATAGAAAAGAAAGGAAGGAAGGCAGAAGGAAATGAGTGAAAGAGGAAGACTCTGGTGGAAATAGAACAAGGAAATCTCTGGAAATTGTACTAGGAAGCAGAGAGTAAAGGGTAGAGTGACGGGGGATGGGGGGTCCACTGGAATGCCTTATATATGTGTGTGGGAATGTCACAATGAAATCCCCTCTTGTATAACAAATATGTTTAACAAAAATAAAGAAGAAAGGTAAGTGAACTGTTCACCTGAGATGTGTCCATTCTCTTCAGCTCCTGGGAGAGGTTAGAACTGCGAAGGCAGGCTGGGCCACAGGGAAGGTGCACAGAAGTCAGGACTGATTTGGTGAGTGGTCAACCTTCAAGATCACCTGTGCCTCCTGGAACTCCACATATACTGCTGACAAATGGCTGCCTGGTGGGACACTGAGAGACACTGCTTGGTGTCACTTACAGACCACGGCAGGGGCAGCAGACTCGTGCCCTGAAAGCAATGGCAGGCAACCTTGGTGTCACCACATGGAGCTCAGAGAACAGGCTTTTCATGGCAGAAGATCAACACTGGTCCCTTATAATTTCCATGCTGTCCCCCCCACCCCCACTAAGATCTGGCTAAACAAGCTGTACTACCGTGAAGGGTAAGATACCAGGACTTTAGTCCATTTGTAAACATGTTGCATACTGCACGTTACATACTAGGATTTACTTTAAAATTGTCATATGAAGAAAAGTAGAAAGGGAGAAAGTATACAGATATGTGTGTGGGGGCTCATGCGCATGTGTGACAATATAATTGTCATGCAGACAATATAATTGTCTGTTGAAGCTATCGTAAGTGCTTTAGTTACTATAGTATTTTCCTTACTTTTGTATGTTTTGACTATTCCCATAATAAAAGATATAGAAGTGATACAACAAAGACCTTACAAAGATCTGCTCCTTTACTTTTCTACAGATATTTTTTTTCTACAGATATTTTTAACTCTTGGAGGTTAAAAAAATTAAAGGAACTATTGACAGCAGAGACAGATATGCTTCAAAGGAGTCTATTATTTTATGTTTGCCCTCCTTTAGATTTTTAAATGGTGTTTTTTTTTTTTACTATCTTTAAGTAGTTGTACAAAGGAGCTGCCAGTCAATAAATCAGTTTATAAGTATAGTGCCTCTTGATTGATGTCACCTCTGTCATCACTCTCCCCATTTAGTTTTAATGTCCTCCAAGGGTTTTTTTTTATTGAAAGACTTGACTCTATTGAGACATGGTGGGCAATGGCCTTGTAGTCTGGGGCCTCAGTTCTCCTTATGGTCCGGCCGTCCCTCATTCTACCAGTATTAGAGCTAACAGGGCATGGGTCTAGCTACTTCCCTTAAAATCATGCTTGAGGTATATACCCTATTTCCATTCCATAAGTGGGGACAGGGAGGAATGTGGGACTGGCTTTGAACCTGGCAGTCTGGCTTCAGAGACAACGCTTTATAAAAATGAATTATTTACTGTTATTACAAAGGTGATAGACAAAGGGGTTGCAGGTATGTAAGTGATATAAAGACCACATTTCTTTTTAGATACTGTCAACCCTTCCCTTGTTCTCTTCCAGTTCAGAAACCAGGTGTTTAAGCACTGTGCTAATTACTCTTTCAGGCATACTTTTTGCTCTTCCAGTAAGGCAGGTTTATATAACCCCTGAAAACAGAAGTAGGTGAACAGCCAAAGTTCTGCTGTAGGTACTGGTGTGGGGACTCAGCAAATCTGAGAAGAGTGACTGGACCCCTCCTCTCCCTCCCATGGGGCTTCCTCTTCCCATGCGGCCTGCCTCTGGACCACCACCCTCAACCCAGCTCACCTTCTTGCTTTGGACTCAGGCTCACACTTGATGGGTGGTGCCTGAGAGCCACAGGGATTGCACGTTACTCAGGCAGAAGGATCCAGAGTCCCTGTCCTGTAGCCATGGTGTCCAGTTCCTTAGAAGGTTGGCTTATCCCAGCTGGGATTCCTGCTTCTGTCTTCCTCTTCTGCTTTTCTCACAAGAACTATGGGATCCCAGAATGTCTGAACCTGACCGGAGGGAATAAATTCAAAATTAAGTCTGAATTTGGAATTTAAATTCAAATCTGGAATCCCTGCCTGGGTCCAACTGTGCTGGGATTCACCAGGCCCCACAGTGCTTCCCTCACACCAGTGGCACCAGCACCAGAGGGGACTAGAGGAAAAGGGAAACTTTGCTCCCCACCTTTTACTGACTTAGGAATGCCAATTGGGCCCTAACATCTGCTGGGTTGGTTGAGCAAGCCCCTGGTGGGTTCTGATGCTGGCTGCTTTGAGAGCTGTCAGGAATGTGGCTCGGGAGTCTAGCTTGCTGAGGTGGAACAGATGCCCCAGGTGGAGATCAGAGGCCTCTGTTACAAAGTAAGGGCCCAGTGGAGATCTTCAGGTTCCTGCAGGGAAGGCTTGGTCCTCACCAGCTCCAGGTATGGCGTGCTGAGTGCTGAGGAGAAAGAACGGGATAAAACAGGCTGAAGTATGGATATAAAATGATTGGGGTTTGCCTCCCAACTCTGAGGTGTGCTCCACACACCTAGACTCTTGGTGTTCTTTCTGTTAAAATGGGGTTGGTGACAAGGGCCTGGGGGTGTGTTTGAGAGTCAGATGGTACAAGTACTAATGAAGACCGAGATCAGGTAACCTGTCCAGGGAAAAGCCAGGCCCTCCACCTCGGGCTCTGCTGCTGTGCTCTCACACCCTGCTTACAACAACCCTGAGGCAGCTTTCAGGAATAATCTGGACTACAGATGGGGAAACTGAGTCTTAGAGGCTCATCTCCCCCCCCCCCAATGGCGTTCTGTGGGCAGAGCTTGACACTGAACTGGAGATCTGAAATCAGCTGCTAGTCCGACCTTCAGACCTGTCTGGGAATTCATTCCCACTCTGCTGGTTGGTTGGTCTTGGGGTTGACTTGTGGGAACTTAGGCCAGGGCAGGGAAAATCCTAGAAGCTTCAACAAACACCTCATTAACATCTGAATGCCTTTCCTCCTCATTTGGGCATTATACCCAACCAGAAACCCTGCCTGGATCGTGCTCTCGTCCCCAACTTGAGAAACCCGCAGACCCCGGAATCTCCTCACTCACTAGACCCCCACATACAGAGTCCACTCCAGATCAAGTGCTGCAGGATTTCTTTCAGAGTCCACTGCAGATCAAGTGTTGCAGATTTCTTTCAGTCCCCGTGGGACTCGCGCAAGTTTTGTTGCTGTAGACTAAACTTACCCCAAGTCTGGCAAAGCAACCCTCTGAACTAGCTCTCTCCTGCAGTACACACACTCCTGCCGGGCCCTGTCACTGAGCGACGACTTGTTCACTTCAAAGCTCCAGGATGATCTGCTGGGTGAAGCGGGAGACACGGGGAGCAGGGAACAATGAGGAAGAACTGCACATGCGCAGTAGGAGCTATGAGAGGCGAGTTCCCGGTCCTCCTGGGCAATCCATCACAATCAAGACTTTTGTCCTGGCTCCCTCCCCTAGGAGGAAGGCATTCTGTTGTATCGGGTGACTTAGTGATTTATGCTCCGGAGTCATTTCTGCTTCTGTTTGGAGCCCTAGTCCCTCACTCCCCAGCACAACATTGCAATAGAGATTTGAACTTAGCTCCACCCACAACCAATCCCTTTAGATGCAAAGCTACTTAGAGAAGCAGAAGGTATGGCCACTGCACACATGAAAACAAAAACACTGCTCCATGTAACCAAAGCTGAGAGACACAGCAACATATTTACTGAAAATAAAAGCAAGCCGTATAGCAAAGTATTTATAGGAAAAGAGAAACAAGCAATATGGTAAAAGTTAAATAAAGTAAAAAGATTAATACAGCCAGCAAGTTTTCTGCCCAAATGCAAATGCTACCTCCACACAAAACTGGATTTTGAAGTCACAGACAACATGGCAAATATACATAAATCAAAGGGGAAAAAATGATGGAATGTAATGCACTCCTTATCTCTTCTCCCAGAGACGACTGTATTTTTTAAATAGGGCCCTGAAAACTTGATGTGCCATTTTGTTCTTTTCATCAAACACGTTAGTTTCCTGAGCCTTTTAAACCTTTTATTTTGACATATTTCAACCTATAGGAAAGTTGGAGCAACAATTCCCTCTGACTGAACACCTAGAAACTGTTCACTTAGATGCCCCAATTGTGAATACTTTACCCACATGTATTTTCTCCCTTCCTGTTTCCCTCCCTCCCTCCCCATTTTTCTCACCCCTCATCATGTTCACCAGGTGCAGACATGAACTGTCACTCAAACTTCAGTGTACTATATATCTCTTATGAACAAGGGCATATACATACATATATACATCATACAATGGTCAAATTAAACCAGGATATGACACTATTAAGTCTTTGGACTGTATTCAAATTTCACCTTGCCTCAAGAATATCCTTGATTGGGCTGGGAATGTGGCTTGGTGGTAGAGCGCTTGCCTAGCATGTGTGAAGCTGTGGGTTGGATTCCTTAGTACCACATAAACAGAAAAGCCTAGATGTGGTGCTATGGTTCAAGTGGTAGAGCACTAGCCTTGAGCACAGAGAGGCTCAAGGACAGTGCCCAGGCCTTGAGTTCAAGCTCCAGGACCAGCAAAAAAAAAAAAAAAAAGAATATCCTTTATCACATTTTTACTGATCCAGGATCTAATTCGCAATCATTTGTGATATCCAGTCCTCATATCTAAATTCCTTTAATTTCTTAGTCTTTCTCTGTATCTGGTGATATTAGTGATTTTGAAGAAGCCTCTGCCTTGTTGTTTTTTCATTCTTTTTAAAAAATGTTAGTATATAGTTGATATACAGAGGGGTTACAGTTACACAAGTCAAGTAATGAGTGCATTTCTTTTTGGACAGTGTCACCCCTTCCCTTTGTTTTTTCATGCTTAAAATTTTAAGTTTTAAGTTTTACACTTGTGACAGGACTCCCATATAAGAGGTACTTTTACACATTTCAGAAAACCCCACATGATGTCAGTTTAATCTCATCTTTGGTAGTATTAACTTTGGTGATATGTAGGTCAATATACACGTACGTGTGTGTGTGTGTGTGTGTGTGTGTGTGTGTGTGTGTGTGTGTTGGTATTGAGGCTTGAGCTCAAGGTACTGTTCCTTACCTATTTCAATCAATGCTGGTGTATTACTACTTGAATCACAGCTCCACTTCTGGCTTTTTGGTGGTTAATTGGAGATAAGAGGCTCATGGACTTTGCTACCTGGAATGGCTTCCAGCCATGATACTCAGATCCCAGCCTCTTGAGTAGCTAGGTTTATAGGCCTGAGCCACTGGTGCCTGGCTTCAATATTCTTTTATGTCAAATGCTTCTCTTCTGTGGGTGATAATAAGACAATAATTTATTAGAATAAGCTCTAGTCACAGTACATTGAATATCTAGGACTAAGTCAGCAAGAGCTGAAATGGCACAGGCCACACAGGAGAAGCAGGAACTGCAGAGTTTGACAAAACCCAACTGGGGATGAGTAGGAAGTGGAGAAAATGAAGTCCTCACAAGTCATATTTTAAAAATTAGCTACTCAGCCTAAGATCTGAGGATCATGGTTCAAAGCCAGCCCAGGCAGGAAAGTCAGTGAGATTTTGTTGTTGTTGTTGGTCATGGGGCTAGAACTCTGGGCCTGGGAGCTGTCCCTGAGCTCTTCAGCTCAAGACTAGTGCTCTACCACTTGAGCCATAGTGCCACTTCCAAGTCAGTGAGAGTCTTATTTCCAATAACCACCTGAAAACTGGAAGTAGAGCTGTGACTCAAAGTGGTAGAGTGCTAGTCTTGAGCACAAAGCTAAAGGACAGTGCCCAGGCCAAGTTCAAGCTCCCAAACCAACACCTCCAACAATAACAACAACAACAAAAACAAGAGGTAGAAGAGGAAGGTCATTGTACATGCTGTAACACATACATTTCACCGAATCTTAGAGATTTACCACTTTAACAACAAATCACTAAGTACCTAGAGAAAGTATCAGAGAATCTCCTTGGTTCATCTATGGATAGAGATCAAAGGCAACAGCCACTAAAGAAATGTCTGGTGACTTGTAGCCTAGAAAAATTTAAAACCTTGTTTTCAGAGAAAAAAAATCAAGTAAAAACACATTTGGAAAATAGATTTGCTAAGTACATGAAAGAAATGCTTTACTGACTTCATTTAATTATCTCATACACATTTATAAGAAGATCACACTACCATAAAAATGATCTATAGATATAAAGGGCAAGTAATAAGAGGGAAAATGCAAATGAGGAATAAATGTATGCAGTCCATAAACTACAAAGAAAAAAATGAGAGTTCTTAAATACATTTTTTGGCTTTTACTGCAGGCAAAGATTATAAAGAAAGTTGACACCATGTAGGCCTAAGGTCTGGAGAAATGCTCATCCTCATAAATTTCTTTTTCGAATATAACTTATGAAACAATCTCAAGGCCATTCTGTCCCAAGATTTAAATAGAACATGTACTTTATTTACTGTAGCAACTCCTGTTCCAGAATATGACCTAAAGAAGTAATTGTCTGAAGGTACAAGTAAAGGTGCAGTCTCAGTTTATGTTCACATTATCACACAGTAAAACACCTAAATGTAAAAACAAAATTGCCATCGATTAGAGGCATCCACAAAGTGGGATACTGGGTAGCCACTAAAATTATAATATAAATGACATAGAATTGTAATATCTTGACATAGGTGAAGTTTACAATGTGTTTTAATATATACTTTGTAGAATATAAACATTGGCTTATATTTTGTAAGAATCACATACATCTCCTGAGAGTTTAAAAATAAATATAAGGGGCTCGGAAGGTGGCTCAGTGGTAGAGCGCTTGCCTTGCATGGTTGAGGCCCTGGGTTCGATTCCTCAGCACCACATAAGCAATAAGCCGGAAGTGGTGCTGTGGCTCAAGTGGTAGAGCGCTAGCCCTGAGCTGAAGAGCTGAGGGACAGCGCCCAGGCCCAGAGTTCAGGCCCCACAACCTATACCAAGTATAGGAACGAAACCAAATGTTAAATCTGTAAACTTCACTCTGGTATGTAATAGTATAGCAAGTTATTTAGGGATTCTGTTGATAAGGGTGGGCCTTGAAGAATTCAAAAGCTGCATTATTCAATACTAATCTGCTGGGGAAGGAGACTGAAGTGGAAGGGGGCATTTTCAGGAAGCATACATTTACATTCATCGTGAAAACCATGTATGCTGATCTCCTTATTTTTCGCAGCACTGGCTCTGTGTTGTATTGAATGTTCATCACTAAATTAACTGAGAATGCATTCTGGTGTTTGCTTAAGTGTCTTTGTTATGTATCACAGCATCTAATTTCCACTTCAAAGTAATTGGTCTTGATGATTTTTTTTTAGTCTCCTAAAAGCACCATCCTATAATGAATATTTGGATGAGACTGGTGTGGTAATTAAATGAGTTAAGATTTTAGGAGAAGTGATTGTTAAAACAAGTTACAAATCACTCAGATCATTCTCAAGCATCAGTAACGCTGTATTCGTTACTGATGCTTGAGAATGAAGGCCTTATGAATGAATACATCTACAGAGTCCCCGCTAGGCTGAAGGAGCCACTTTTACAATGACACCCTTACATGGCTATTAGCAGGAAACTTCAGTTCCTCATTTGACCCCTCTATAGTTTCCTGGGTGCCCTCATGACATCCCCCAGGTGAGTGACCCATGAGAACAAGACAGAATCCACATCTCCTTTGTAGCCTGGTTTGGAAGTCATAACTCAATATACTGACTTGGTTTCACAGACCAACCTTGAGATGTAGCAGTTTCTGGCACAGCTCGTTGACAGCACCCATTATAGCATCACGTCCACAAACAAACAGTACATTGGAAAGGAATAAAGGAAAAAACAATGAAGACTATAAAGAAGTATAGGAAACTAAGGTAGTCTCCCATCTCTAGTCTGTAAGGTGACCCTCTCCATTGGCTCTGTATGTATTCCCAGATGTGTTTCAGTGACAATGGACTATAAGGAGCATTTCTGTGTGGACTGTGGAGGATAAGGTAGAAAAGCAGCCATTTTGTGTCTTTGTGCTTGGGTGTCTCTAGCAACAGCATTTATTCTTACCTGAACTACCATTGTCATTCTGTGCCATTGTTCCCAATTCATAAGTTGGGATTCCTGTCATGCAGGTGGACAGCACTAGCTACTTCCTCCACCTAATTTATCCCATTTCCTATGAATGGGTAGAAAGTTAGAAAGGCAGAAAAATGCATGCTGGCCTGATAACAATATTCATTTCCCTACAGAAGACTGAGGGGCAGTGGGGAAAGGGACTAATTACCACTACTTACTGTTTTATTGACAAAAATGAATTCATGTATTTGATGTGTAAACTTTTTTTTTCCGTCGTAAGGGCTTGAACTCTGGGCCTGGGCGCTGTCCCTCAGCTCTTCAGCTCTTGTGTAACTTTTTTTTTTTTTTTCCAGGGCTGAGGACCGAACCCCGGGCCTTGTGTGTGCCCGGCAGGCACCCTTCTGCTGGGCTAAACCCCCAGCCCCTCAGCTCTTCAGCTCAAGGCTAGCACTCTACCACTTGAGCCGCAGCGCCACTTCCCGTTTTCTGGTGGTTTATTGGAGATAAAAGTTTCACGGACTTTGTTGTCCAAGCTGGCGTTGAACCACAATCCTCAGATCTCCTGAGTAGCTAGGATTACAGGTGTGAGCCACTAGCACCCAGCTCTTGATGTGTAAACTTATGTGCCACATCCTAGTGTTCTGGAGAGGGGAGGGCACAGACATACACCACAGTGGCTCAACAGATCTGAATGGAGCTGACACATCTTATTTCCAAGTTCTTCCAGTGTGCCTTTTCCATGTTTGGATGCACACACACGCACACACACACACATACACACACACACCACTACAGAGCAATGGCCTCCTGTACTTAGTGCAGGAACCTGCTGTCTGACTGTGCGCCCTCAGTGACAGCCTAGGTAGGTAGCATGTTATACCACACCAACCAGGTTTGTATACGCATGTCCTACAAAGGTAAAATCCCTTAGGGAACCCATAGAAGGGGTTCTTCTCATTGGGAAACTTATCTCTATGTACTCTGGGACTGAGGAAAACACCACAAAAAGGGCCTGAGGTCCACAGGCAATGCTTACCCTCTGTGGGGAGTTCAAGCCAAGCTCTGTCTCCTGACCTTTTCTCCACTCTGATGTGGCCCATGGTGCTATTTGAGAACTGTCAGCAGGAGCCTTTTCTCTGAGTCAATACTGAATTATCCATGTGGGTCTCATGGAGAGCAGTCACACTGGCAAATGGTCACAGGTAGCCCTGAGAGGGCTCAGGTAGATAGTGGTGCTGAGCCAGTATAAGGCCTTCCTAATTCCACTCTGGATTCAGGAAATCATACCTGGAATCTGAGTAGGGTTCTGCAAATTCCCACTGTAATCCCTTCAGCCACGGTCCTGTGCAAGTGACCCCGGAATGTTTCATTCATAAGACTGCAGCTCAGAAAGTTGCCCATCTAATTTTATTCTAGGCTTTCATGATCAACTCATCATCCCTGGCAGGCCAGACCTGATGATCACTCTGCCCTAAGGCCCGCTATGCTGCGTTCAGCTGGACTCCAAAGGGTAAGGGCTGGAACCCTAGTGATACCATATTTTCCAGGATCCTACTATTTCTATTTCAGGATCTATTTCCAAAGACACTTCTAGAGGCTGAGAAAAGGCAGGGTCTGTTCTATGTTGCATAGAACAGCAGAGTAAGGCTGTGCCAATCTTGACTACTCCATTTTATAAAGCAATTTTGACCTGACTACCCCATTTTGAGTAGAAGTTTCAAATAAAAATGACTCCACATCTTGTCTATGCTCTTGAACAACCATCATCTGCCAGCACATCACACATCTGACAAATGTGCCAATAAGCAATCACATCCGCAAATACAGCAAATCTTATCAGAAGCAATGGACACATTAACATCACATATGAAAGCCCCTCATTTGGGCCTATAAAAGGAACAACACCCAAAGATTGAGATGTGGCAGGCAGACACACTAATCTGTTGCCGGATCATTCATTAGCTAACCCAGGAAAATGCCAAAGTGAAGGACTTCTGGCCGTCTGCAGGGACACATGTCCACCTGTTTCTGGCACTGCTCGCTGACAGCACCCATTATAGCATCACGTCCACGAACAAACAGTACACTGGAAAGGAATAAAGGAAAAAACAATAAAGACTATAAAGAAGTATAGGAAACTAAGGTAGTCTCCCATCTCTAGTCTGTAAGGTGACCCTCTCCATTGGCTCTGTATGTATTCCCAGATGTGTTTCAGTGACAATGGACCATAAGGAGCATTTCTGTGTGGACTGTGGAGGATAAGGTAGAAAAGCAGCCATTTTGTGTCTTTGTGCTTGGGTGTCTGTAGCAACAGCATTTATTCTTACCTGAAGGCTTTCCTGTTGGTGGAGGCCAGAAGCCAGGCCTCTAGTGGCCCTCTGTTCAAAGGCAAGTCCAGTAGCTCCTCCTGCTCTGGGCATAGGCATGGTTAGGCTACCCACATTGCCTGGGTTGATGACACTGAAGAGTAACACAGGCCTACCTGCTTCTGTGGCTTCAGCTTGCTTTGTTTTCCCCCACTGGCTCTTCTCTCCTGCTTGGCCTATGGATTCCAAGCCCCCAAACCAACCACAGAGTCAATCATGTAACCAATTCCCCACAATCGCGTAAGATCCTATCTCTTTAACAAGCCCATCCATCCAGAGATCACGTGCTGCTCTGCTTTGATTGATCCGGGAATGACAACAGAAATGATTTTAGAGGCCTAAGGAAAGCCCTAGCTATAATGAGTACTGGCTAGGGCCCCTACCCTAAGGGTCACAGATCTTAGCAGATGTAGCTCCTAGTCTACTTTGTGGAGGGGGTGGAGCATGGTTCTAGAGGAACAAATGTTAGATATCTAGACACAGCACAAGGTGTGATCTTCTGCTACATCTCAAGGTTTGTCTGTGAAACCAAGTCAGTATAGTGAGTTATGACTTCCAAGCCAGGCTACAAAGGAGATGTGGATTCTGTCTTGTTCTCATGGGTCACTCACCTGGGGGATGTCATGAGGGCACCCAGGAAACTATGGAGGGGTCAAATGAGGAACTGAAGTTTCCTGCTAACAGCCATGTAAGGGTGTCATTGTAAAAGTGGCTCCTTCAGCCTAGCTAAATTCTCCCAAGTTTTAAACATTTACAATGAAATAGTAACATTGTTTTAAGCTGCTAACTTTGGGGAGTAATTTTCTGTATAGCAAGAGACAATGATTACATTTCCTTGTGTTACAGGTTGAATCACCAAGTTCCTAAACAACCTCCAGTATGTCAGAATGTTTTGTCATTTGGAGACAAGGTAAACAGTCAAGATTAAGCCATCCTTGGATCCAGCTGTTCCTTAATCCAGTAAGTCCTTACAAAGTGGGGAAAGACAAAAACATGTATAACCAAAATGTCATGTAAATATTAGAGGGCTAGGTGGATGGCACATCTCCCATAATCCTAGCCTCTCAGGTAGAATAGAGGCAGGGTCATGGTTTGAACCCAGCTATAATCTCAACAAACAAGGTAGTCTGGTAGTTCATACCAGAAATTCCAATTACTATGGAGCTGTCTGAGGCTGGCCCAGGCAAAAGGATGGGCCCCAGCTAAAAACAAACAGAGCCCAAAGGGCTGGAAGTATTACTCCACTGTAGAGTGCTTTCTAGCAGGGCAAGGCACTAATTTCGAATCCTAGGGCCACCAAGAAAAAAAAAGTTGACACAAACCAAGGCATAGCCAGAGCAGCTAGAAGAAGCCTGGGGAAGGCCATCTTCTAATACCTTCAGAAAGAACACAGCCTTGACCTCAGACTTCTAACCTCAGATTTCTGTGGTTGTACATCACACGGCTTAGGTTCATTTGTTATGTCAGCCCCGGGAAAATATTTCCTAGTGTCATGTCCTTTTGGCTATTTTAGAGATTTTTCTCTTTATTAAATTGGATTTTGATTTCTATGTGCCTTAAAGTTTTATTTTGCTGAGCTTTTTTTTTTTAATCCTGTCTGAAGCTTACTGAACTTCTTGGATGTAGACATTTATATTTTTCATCATATTTGAAAAAATGTCTCACCATATAGTTTTTCCACCTATATAATATCAATCAAACCCATAGGAAAGAAAATACAGCATTAGGCAGAACTCTGGTTTTCTAACTCAAGGCAAGTGAACAAGCAGACAGTACAGCTACAGACAGCGAGTATACAGATCTCAGCAAAGCCAAGTTCTGAAGGTACAAAGTAGTCCACCAGCTTCATTTACAATAGATAGTAAGTTTGGCAAGACCAAGCTAAATATTTATATATCAGCAAAAAACTTGGCCAAAGTTGTGACAAAAAATTGTCTTTGAAACTCTATCTACTGACAATTTTAAAGCAAGAGACAAGTTACATAAGAATGGTATACAAATACACACAACACATATTCACATCTAAGTATATGTTCATATATATATTTAACATATATACCTGTGCACACTTATTATATACACTTATCTCACTGAAGGACTCAAGTAAGGACTGAATAAATGGGCAGATAAATTAAGCTTCAGGTGGAGGCACCTTTTTCCACCCCTACAATCCAAATAGAGAAGGTTCAGGCTCAAATACAGCAAACAGACCTCTGCTACTGATTGAGACTGGGCTGATAGGTGGTTAAAGTGACCACCAAGCAGGCCATTAGCTGAGGAAGCGAATGAGGCCAGTCTACCAGCATAGCCATAAGCAATGCAAGGAAAGCTCACCACAAAGAGGAAAAGACTTGAGCTAAGAAAACTGTTATTATTCTGTTTTACCAATGAGATGAACCCATTTCATCCTACCTCTGCCATTCCATAACGTGGCAGAGAGGCCAGAAATGGGTTATCATTTCCCATTCACAGCAGTCAGGACTTAAGAATATTTAGGCCATAAAAGGCATCCAGTCCTAAATGCCTATATCCATACAATACTTTCTTTTTTTGGGGGGGGGCTTGAATTTGGGGCCTGGACGCTGTCCCCAAACTCTTTTCGCTCAAGGCTAGCGCTCTACCGTACTTTGAGCCACAGCACTACTTCTGGATTTCTGGTGGTTAACTGGAGATAAAGAGTCTCACAGACTTTTTCTGCCTAGGCTGACTTTAAGCCTCAATCCTCAGATCTCAGCCTCCTGAGTAGCTGGAATTATAGCAAGTGACTCATCTAATACATTTCTAATTAGCATTATAGAGGCTCTTCCTTTTTCTGAGTCTGAATTTCAAAGAATATATCTACAAACATGCTTATTAGATAATCCCAGAGGTTTTTGAAAACATACTGATATAATCAAACCACTGACACAACAGGGATGTGTGGATATTATGAGGTAAGATCAGAGAGATAAACACTCGGGTTCAAACTTTTGCTGTTTAAATCTGTTTTTTCCCTACTGCTGGAAGTGTGGGGATCACACTCCCGCTGTGCTGCACCCTCTTTCCTTAGAAGCATCCTAGAAAGGGCTTTCATTTGCTCAGCTGTATCAAAGGCTCCAGTGTTAAACTCATCACAAGTAGAACTGAGCTGCCCCAGCCAGTCCTCTGGTTACCTTTGCAGATACAGGGACTGGGGGCTGTCATTAGACAACAGAGACATGGTTAGAAAGCAAAAACCAAGCTGAGATTTCAAGACACTGTAAATTTATAAGCTGTAAATTATTCAGCCTGCATTGTTGATTAAGTGACACTGGTTTGGAATGAAGTAAAATTAGGGCCTCACACTAGCATATACCAAGAATGGAGAACAATCAACAATTAAACCTAAATAACATGCTTCATATTCAAAGAGGAGGCACACTTGGCATGGTGTTTGAAATGGTGTCGAGCATTCTCATGGTTTACAATGACTGTTCCACTTCATTTATTAAACAGACTGTATCTCTCATCTATTGTGAGCTCTCTGACTTGACCGGAAAAATTCCCAACTCCTTACTGATACCATTTAGTTTTGGCATTAGGTGAATTATTTGTTGCTTTCTTGGAACTTACTCCTTGTGAGTTTTCTGATGTAACAGGAAGTTTGATTTGTGGCGGAATGTTTTCTCACATATGTCACATTCATATGGTTTCTCTCCTGTGTGTATTTTCTGATGTTCATTGAGTGTCCACAGCCGGCGGTACGTTTTCCCACATTCATTACATTCATAGGGTTTTTCTCCTGTGTGAATTCTCTGATGTACTCTGAAGGCTGACTTGTGGCAGAAAGTTTTCCCACACTCCTTACAATCATATGGCTTCTCCCCAGTGTGAGTTCGCAGATGTTCACTAAAGGAAAACTTCTGGGAGAAGGTTTTCCCACACTCGTTACACTCATAGGGTCTCTCGCCTGAGTGTGTTCTCTGATGATGTGTGAGAGCTGACTTCCTGCAGTAGGCCCTCCCACAATCACTGCATTCATAGGGCTTGTCCCAGATAGTTCTCCGACCTAGTAAGGGGGGTGGGCTCTTGCTGACTTCATGCTCAGGCTCAGGACACTCAGGGTTCTCCTCTGTGCTAACACTCTCACGCTCACTGCAGTCTGACTGCACAGAAGACATTCCATCACACTGATTGAGCGCCTCCTGCTTCTCTCCAGTGTGAGTGCTCTGATGTATAGCCAGCGTTGACTTATGGTAGAAGAGCTTCCCACACTCACTACATTCGTAAGACTTCTTTCCTCTGTGAATGGCCTGGTGTGCGGTTAGGGCAGACTTGGTACATAAGAACTTGCCACACTGACTGCATTCATAGGGCTTCTCTCCCGTGTGGCTCCTCTGATGCACATTGAGGGCTGACTGGCAAAAGAAGGTTTTCTCACACTCACTGCACTCATAGGGTTTCTCCCCAGTGTGGATTCTCTGATGTGCTGTCAGAGCCGACTGGCAGAAGAAGGTTCTCCCACATTCTTTACACTCATTTGGCTTCTCTCCCCTGTGAGTTCTCTGATGCACAATGAGGTAAGATTTCTTGCTGAAGGCTTCCCCACACTCCTCACATTCGTAAGGCTTCTCCCCTGTGTGAGACCTAAAATGCTCTGCGAGGGCTGACTTCCGAAAGAAAGTCTTTCCACATTCATCGCACTCATAGGACTTCTCCCCTCCGTGAATTTTCTGATGCACGAGGAGGGCAGACTTGTCGATGAAGGTTTTCCCGCACGCACTGCACTCGTAGGGTCTCTCTCCAGTATGAATTCTCTGGTGTCGTGTGAGGCTTGTCTTCACACGGAAGGTTTTCCTACAGTCACTGCAAGCATAGGGTTTCTCCCCCGTATGGATTCTCTGATGGGCAACGAGGGTGGACCTTTTAGAAAATCTTCTCCCACAGTCCTCACATTCATTTGACTTCTGTTCAGCATGTTTCTCCTTCTGTGCAGAAAGAACTGGCAGCTGGAAGGACTTCCCATGTTTCTTATGGGCGAGAGGTAGTTTCAAAGCCTCATTGTTCAGATGCAGCAGAACATCTTCATCTTGACTCCCGACTTCCCTCATCTGGTTACTTTTGGACTTTTTCTTTCCTGAATGACCTTTCTCATGATTAGCATGGAGTAGTGACTTCTCGCATTCACTGTGTTCATTAGGAACTTTTGCATTTTCTTTGCTTTCTTTTACAATTATTTCTGAATTCATTTTCAAGCAGTTTCTATCTGAATCAGATTTATAAAGTACTTCTCTTGAGGGAAGATTATTCATGCCCAGGGTAAATGTGTTCCCAAATACATAATTTTTTTCTGTAATCATTGTTTCATTGTTGAATACAATTTGATTCAAATGTTTGTCTTGGATTTCTGGGTCCTTCTCTAAGGCACCATCATCTTCTAGAAAGGAGCATAATGGACAATAATTTGTGAGGCTTTACACACATGCAATGCTATGAAACGAGAATGTATATCAATACCCTGGTGTGTACACTTCAAACCCAGCCTCCCAGGATTAAAGGAAGAACACTCAAGAGCCCTTGACACTTGGCAAAGCATAGACTGGAAAAAAAACAGCCACAGGGAACAATACTTGCATATACTGGAAGTGTGGCTGACTGAAGTATTGACTGCAATAGAAAAATGTATGAACTGAAGAGAAAAATAAGATAGAGTAAGACCTCAGAAAGATGGCCAGTGCTGACACAAACACAAGGAAAGGGTAAGACATACTGCAGGGAGGAGGGAACGCTGACGTTTGAGCATGGCTACGAGTAGAGAAAGGAAAGCGGACAGCCTGGGAAGTTACAGCCCTAAAATGAGAGGAGGATCTTCTTAAGCTCTGTGCTAGGACACTTATTTGCTCCACCCTAGGCCCAACCCTTCTGAGGCTGGGAATAAAAACTATTTCTATTTCTTAAACCGTAGGGAGGAAAAACAAAACAAACAAGCAAACAAAAAACCCCAACAAATTAGAAAGATCATATAAATCAAGATGTATTTTTAAAGCCAGGCACATGCCCACAATATTCCAGTTACTTTGACAGTAGGGATAGGAAGAGCTAAAGTTTGAGGCTAGCCTGGGCAAAAACTGGGGACCCTATCACAAAAACAAAATAAAAACAGAAAGAAATGCTGGGGCATAGCTCAAGTGGGAGAGCACTCACTGAGCATGTGCAAGGCTTGGGGCTCAATCTTCATTAACCAATAAACTTAAAAAAATTAACATTTATTATTATTTTTGGTGGTACTAGAGTTTGGCAGTCTTATGTTTGCTTATCTGGCACTCTGCCACTTGAGTCACTACCCCATCCCTACTTTTGGCTGGTTATTTTGGAGATAAAGTTTGATGGAGTTTTTTGTCTAAATTATGCTTCAAACCTCAATTCACTCAAGCCACTTCCACTCAGTAAAAACTTACTTTCTAATCCAGGTACTGGTGGCTTCTGCCTGCTCAGGAGGCTGAGATCTGAGAATCACAGTTCAAAGCCAGCCTGGGCAGTAAGTTTATGAGTCTTAGCTCCAACTAACAACCAGAAAACTGGACAAAGCACTGTTGCTCCAAGTGGGAGAGTACTAGCCTTGAGCAAAATAGCTCAGGAATGGATAGTGCCCAAGCCCCGAGTTCAAGCCCTACAACCAATCAAAAATAAAACAAAAACCTTACATTCTAAAGACAAATACGTATATATACACATACATATGTATATATACTGATATTTATACACATATGTACTTATATATTTATATATTACTTATTTCCACTTATTTTGAATATAAAGCATGCCTAGCTGTGAATCAGTGGCTCACACCTATAATCCTAGGTACTGGAGGCTGAGATCTGAGAATCTCAGTTTGAAGCCAGCAGCAAGTCTGTTAAATTTTTCTCTCCAATTAGCCAGCAAAGACCCTTAAGTAGTAGTGCAGCAGCCATGAGAGAAAAAAACCTAAGCAATACACAAGTCTCAGAGTTCAAGTCCCAGTACTGGCACAATTTAAAAAAAGCAGAAACCACAGTTCCATGACAGTAGTGGGGCAAGGAAGGCAAGGAGAGAATGCCATAGAAATGGTTGTGGAAAAAGAGGACTTAGCTTCTAGGGATAGGTCACTCAGTGGCAAAAAATCTTTATAAGCTTCAATAGAAGATGTACATTTGGGGAGAGTGCTTAGGAATCTGTGGCATGAAAGCTCATTGACCTCACACCACCTCCAGAGCTCTGTCATCACCAGCCACACAGGAACTCAAGTCCGTGGTTTCTGCCAGCTCAGTTATCATTTACGCACCTGTGTGGTTCTGCCTTGTGATTTCATCCCCTATCCATGGTTCTTCCCCTTGCTCCAACTTGAAGATCACATCTGGTTTGCTAGTATGTATCCCTGTTAATGAGAAAAGACAAAAGACATAGACAGAACTGGAACAAGCTCTTTGGATTTCAGGGACTCTAACGGGTGAAGTCAGAACATTTAGTGAAGGGTGGGAGAAGGCAGAGTATGTGTGTGCGTGCATGTGCCTGTGTATGCTCACACGAATGTTTTTGAATCATCTTTCTCCCCTGATGCTCAAGACCAGGTAATTTGATTCTAAAGCCTTGGCACAGAAGGGAAGGATACTCTGGGGAGCTGCGCAGGACAGCACACTCACCCACTGAGATGAGGTTGCTGTAGTTTTCCAGCATCACTTCCCTGTACAGGAGCCGTTGCACAGGGCCCAGCCGCAGCCACTCCTCATGGGTGAAGTCCACTGTCAAGTCCGTGAAGGAAATGGATTTCTGAAAGAGCACATTTAAGCTGATTAGAACCCAGTGACATCAAATCTATGGGAACATCAAATGTAAGACCACTGCTGTGGTTAACCATATACCCTAAGGTGTTATTGTTGGTGAAGGCTAGAAAATTAGAAATATCCTGTCACTTTTTTTGCGGGGGGGGGGGGCAGTGCTGGGTTTAAATTCAGGGCCTTATGCTTGCCAGGCGGTGCTCTACCACTTGAGCTGTGTCCCAGCCCATCCTATTCATTGTTTTAACATGAATTTTTAAAATGTATGGAGTTTGCACTATGTCCTAAATACTGACTCTCCTAAAAATACTGGTCCTGCTCTCAAGGGGCATCCATTCTGATGAAGCAACACAGAAACACATACCTTCAGAAAAGAGCAATGATAGTCAGACACACAGAAATGGAGAAAAAGTAGAAAAATGGAGAAAAAGGAGAAAAGTAGGTCTGGGAAGGTGGCTCAGTGGTAGAGCGCTTGCCTTGCATGCCAGAGGCCCTGGGTTCGATTCCTCAGCACCACATAAGCAAAAAAGAAAAAAAGCCGGAAGTGGCACTGTGGCTCAAGTGGTAGAGCGCTAGCCTTGAGCTGAAGAGCTGAGGGACAGCACTCAGGCCCAGAGTTCAGGCCCCACGACCGGACCCAAAAATAAATAAATAAATAAAGGAGAAAAGTAGTTTTTCCATTTTGTCGTTAGACTTCTTTGGAAGGAGTACTTTTGGATGTGAAATACAGTGTGCTTTGTCAAAATGTGATGAACAAAAAAATACACTAGACAAGACAGATGTAAAGATTAAAACTCACAGCTATTTTTGTATAAAAGAACCTGGGAGCCTGGACAGAAGGCAGAGAACAGAGGCCATTTTTCCCTAGAATTCAATCTCAAGACTTTTTATTCAGTGCAATACATCTGTAAAACATTCTTGCACAACACAATACTCCCTGGAGTATTTCTTGTTCTTGACTTTGTCATTGTTGAGAATAGTGGAAATATATATGTATGTATATATATATATGTATAATGGCATATATATGACATACTGGAGTACTGTGGCCAAATGTGTATTTTAGAATGCTTCAGAATATAGGGGTTGGCAAACAACAGCCATGGATAGAAGCCATCTGCTGAGCTCTAGATCTGGCCATATCATGTTTACACATTGCTGGTGACTGTTTGCTACAACCTTATGATGAATATATCTGACAGACACCATGTGGCTAGGAAAGCTGAAAATATTTATCATCTGGTCCTCTAAAGAAAATGTTTCTATCTCCTACGCTGAAAAATGGAGAGCAGATGAAAAGTCAAATGAAGATGTCCTGTGAGACAGGACCTCAGGCAGTTCCAGTGGGAGTGGGAAGGAGGGAACGGATCTTGCAATGACAAGGAGCAGGATGAGCTGGCCTCTGGTTGGCTGGTGCTGCAGATGTTTTGTGCAATTACTTAGCATCATCAGCTCAGTAGATATGAATATTGTATGCTGAGGCTGGTAGAACAAACCACCAACAAAAGATCTGAGAAGAAGCTAATGGAGTGGAACATTTTAGACGCTATGTTTGAAATTCTTGAAGTGTGGGCATAAATATCCATTGGACAGGTGGATATTTGGTTTTGGAAGTCAGAAGAGACAAAGAATGGTAGTCAGAAGGCAAAATGAGGTGACTGGGAGAATGAGAAAGGTCTCTATGAATGGACATGTAGTGATCTCCAGGGTATACTGCTAAGAAAAGTGAAGAATATCTACGGTGCTATCTTTATGTACAAAAGGAAGAGCTATAAGGAAGTACACACAAAAACACCATGTGTATAATACAGAAATTCAGAGGGGGTAACCAGAAATGAATGAACTTAGCCACCTCTTGAGGAGTGTGGGGAGACAGAAATGGGAAAAGGGAAGAAGAGATGAGAAACAAGTGGCCCTTCTCTAAATGTCTTTATATGCAGTTTTGACTCAGAATGACAGCAATGTCGCCTACCCCCAAAACAAATAACTAAAATCAAACACGACATGGAAAGGGAATTGCAAACAAAATACAAATAGTGCCATATAAATTAACTTTCTTAAAAACAAGTAACAGCCAAGCATCAATGGCTTACATTTGTAATCCTAGCTACTAAGGAGGCTAGAGATCTAAGGACTGTGGTTCAAAGGCAGCCTGGGCAGGAAAGTCTGTGAGACGCTTATCCCCAATTAACTACCAAAAAGCTGTAAATGGCACTGTGGCTCAAAGTGGTAGAGTACTAGCCTTGAGCACTAAAGCTCAGGAACAGCACCAGGCCCTGAGTTCAAGCCCCAGGACTAGCAAAAAAAAAAAGGAGGGGGGGAAGCAACAGGCATAGTGGATGAGATAAAGAAAAGAACTGCCCAAAGGAACTGTGGAGAAGAGCATTCTGATTCAATTCAGTGATAACTATAGGTGAAAAACAGCTGTATACAATTATCTACTTAAAAAGTTTTGTTGTTTTTATTTTGGGGAGTGGTACTGGTGTTTGAACTCAAGTCATAGGCTTGCTAGGCAGACACTCTATCACTTAATCCATGCCCTCAGCTCTTCTCCATAGGAAAATTGTTTTCCACATGTGTAGACATAGCTGAGAAGACAGATAACTTGAGTGTAGATTATGAGAGTCAGCTTTCCCCAACTGAGACAAAGGCATTGTAAGCGGGCTGGAATGAACTGTATAGGGTAATTGGCCAGTAAAGTCTTCAGGTCATGAGAGACAAAGGACTGTAAGTTCTTTCTGTATGATTTTTTCAAAGTCCAAATTTATTTAAAAATAAAACAGTAAAAAAAAATGGAACAGCCTTTCCATTCTGCCAACACATGTGCATTCCCTGTGCTCTGGGACGCTGCAGACAGAGCACCACACATCTTCTAGGTTACCTTAGCCTGCCTTCCTAGCCTCCACATCCTCACTGTGACGCAACACACTCCAGCAGTGATTTAATAACATCCCTCCTGTCATCAAGCAATGGCCCTCCACACATAAATCAGAAGTAGTCACATTATCCAAATTATGTCCCCCATTAGTATTCCCTCCAAAAAGTTACAAGCTTCCTAACAATGAATAGTAACTTGTAGTTACAGGAACACAGTGTACATATAAGATCTTGATAATTAGAATATTACAAAATTACTGGAAGCAAAAGGCCAATGAGTTGGAGAAGCAGTGAGATATCACAGATCATCAGTCCTCTGCCCACAGACAGAACAGTGCCCTTCACAGCAGGACCAGTGGCTGTATTCACTTTCTCAGAAATGGATCTGTGCTCATCATAAAGGGAAAAGAAACTCAAGTGGCCTGATTTCAGAGCAGGGGTCACAAAATGAAATGAGGAACATGAATGTGAGCTGCACTGCTTAATGGGGGCACCAAGAGAAATGCATCAGGGGCCTTTCTCATGGGGAGACCCACAGGTAGTACACAGACTCTCCACTGAAGCACAAGTGCAGCTAGGTGCTCTGCACACACGCAGCCCAGAGGCAGAGGGAAAAGGAATGAGGACATGGTTCCTGGCTCAGGTCACAAACCACGTGGGGATAAGAGCTAAGGAGGACTGAAACATGGAGACTCGGTCAAAATCAGGTGGCAGAATGTGGGGGCGGGGCTTATTTTGGGAACTAAATGCCCTCTGCCATCATCACTCTGCAGTGGTTCTCAGCGTCGGTGACACCTGCCCCTTGAATCTGTGCAAGAATTTGGGGGCTGCCAAAGTTCTGTGGGATGCTGCTAGTATGTGACAGAGAGATGGAACAAGGGACAGTAGATGAATTACACCATACAGGTCAGTCTCAGAAATGTCCTAAGCCTGACATAACTTTCTTGTTTTGGGGGGGGGGGTCCGGTCGTGGGGCCTGAACTCTGGGCCTGGGCGCTGTCCCTCAGCTCTTCAGCTCAAGGCCAGTGCTCTGCCACTTGAGCCATAGCGCCAC